GTTTTTTTTTTAAGATTTTATTTACTTATTTGTCATAGAGAGAGAGAAAGAGAGAGAGAGCACGAGTGCACAAGCAGAGGGAGTGGCAGGCAGAGGGAGAATCAGACTCCCCACTGAGCAAGGATCTTGATGCGGGACTCGATCCCAGGACCCTGGGATCATGACTTGAGCCGAAGGCAGATGCTTAACCAACTGAGCCACCCAGGCGTCCCAAAGGGAGATTTTTTAAAGAAAGGAGGTAATAACAGAACATATTTGAGGCGGGAAAGGATCAATGCAGTAGAAAAGGCAATACTAATGATGCAGAGAAGCAAAGTCCCTGAGAATTTGGAAAGGGATGGCAATTGCACTGGCTAGCCTTTGACAGGAACAGACACACTTTTTCCCCAAATGTGTCTGTTTCTATCACGGATGTGAGAATGTCAGGAGATTCAAAAGCAGCAAAGTGAGTGCTTTCCCCTACACACACTGTGTGTGTGAAGGTTATCAGCTGGGGGGTGAGATGAGGGTAAAGGGGAGTGGGGAGTGGTAAAAGTTGGAGAGACAGGAAGGTGTTAAACACTTTTGTCTAGTTGTTGAGTAACAGTGTTGAAAGACTGCTCTGACACAGTGTTGAAAACCCAATGAAATGTGTGGTTGTGACTTTCTTCACGACTCAGTGACTGAGTTGCAGACTAAGAGAAGGCAAATAATTTGGTTCACAGATGGCATTTTGCCAGGCAAGTTTTCACATTTCCATCATCCCTTTCCTTCATCCCAGCAAAAGTGACAGAGGAAATACAAGGGACAAAAAGGAAACATTTACATAAAGAGGAATCCACAGCAGGGCAAGAAGCATACTTTTTCATTCTATCTCCATGCAAGGCAATAGAGGCACACCTCCAAGATACTGTGGTTTGGTTCCGCAGCACCACAATAAAGCGAATATCCAATAAGGCAGGTCAGATGAATTTTTTAGTTTCCTACTGTGTATAAAAGTTATGTTTACACTATTCTGTGATCTATTAAGTGTGCAATTGCATGCTGTCTAAAAAACAATATACATACCTCAATTTAAAAATACTTCATTGCTAAAAAAAAAAAAGCTAACCATCATCTGGGCTTTCAGTGAGTCATAATCTTTCTGCCGGTGGAGAGTCTTGCCTTGAAGTTTTTGGCAGCTGACCGATCAGGCTGCCGAAGGGTGGATGGCTGTGGCATCAACTGACTCTTTCACTAATGATTTCTCTGTAGCATGTGACATTATTTAATAGCATTTTACCCGCAGTAGAACTTTCAAAATTGGAGTCTATCTTCTCAAAACCCTGCCACTGCTTTATCAACTAAGCTTATGGAATATCCTAAATCCTTTGTTGTCATTTCAACAGTCCTCACAGCATCTTCACCAGGGGTAGATTCCATCTCAAGAAACACTTTCTTTGCTCATCCGTAAGAAGCAACTCCTCATCCGTTTAAGTTTGATCCTGAGATTGCGGCAATTCAGTCCTATCTTCAGGCTCCACTTCTCACGCTAGTGTTCTTGCTATTTCCACCCCATCTGCAGTTACTTCCTCCACTGAAGTCTTGAATCCCTCAAAGTCATCCACAAGGGTTGGAATCAACTTCTTCCAAACTCCTGTTAACGTTGATATTTTGACCTCTTCCCATGAATCATGAATATTCTTTTTTTTAAGTAGGCTCCACGCCCAGTGTGGGGCCCAATGTGGGGCTTGAACTCACAACCCTGAGATCAAGACCTGATCTGATATCAAGAGTCAGACACTTAACCGACTGAGCCATCCAGGTGCCCTGAATCATGAATATTCTTAATGTCATCTAGAATGGGGAATCCTTTCCAGAAGGTTTTCAATTTACTTTCCCAGATCCATCGAAGGAATCACTTTCTATGGCAGCTGTAGTCTTACAGAAGGTATTTCTTAAATAAGAAGGCTTGAAAGTCAAAATGACTCTTGACCCAAGGGCTGCAGAATGGATGTTGTGTCAGCAGGCATAAAAACATTAATCTTGTACATCTTCATCAGAGCTCTTGGGTAACCAGATACACTGTGAATGAGCAGGAATATTTTGAAAGGAATCCTTTTTCTGAGCAGTAGGTCTGAGCAGTAGGTCTTAACAGTGGACTTAATATTCAGTGAACCATGTTGTAAACAGACGTGTTGTCATCCAGGCTTTGTTGTTCCATTTCTAGAGCACAGGCAGAGCAGATTTAGCACAAATCTTAAGGGACCTAGGATTTTCAGAATGGGAAATGCTCGCTTCAAACTTTTCTACTGAAGCTTCCTAATCTCTCTGAGCCTTCACAAAGCTGAAGAGAGTGAGGGCCTTGCTCTGGATTAGGCTTTGGCTTAGGGAATGTTGTGGTGTTTTGATCTTCTATTCAGATCAGTAAAACTTTCTCCATATCAGAGATAAAGCTGTTTTGTTTATCATTCGTGTGTTCACTGGAGTAGCACTTTTGATTTTCCTTCAAGAATTTTCCTTTGCATTCACAAGTTGACTAGCTATTTGGCATAAAAGGCCTAGCTTTCTGCCTATCCAGGCTTTCAGCATGCCTTCCTCACTAAGCTTAATCATTTTTAGTTTTTTATTTAAAGTGAGAGATGTGTGACTTTTCCTTTCACTTGAACACATAGAGGCCATTTTAGGGTTACTAATTGGCCTAATTTCAATATTGTTATATCTCAGGGAATAGGGAGGCCCAAGAAAAGGGAGAGAGAAAGAGAACAGCCGTTCAGTAGAGCACTCAGAACATACATACATTTGCCGAACAAGTTCACTGTCTTATGTAGGTGGCATTTGTGATGCCCCAAATTAATGACAATAGTAACATCGAAGATCACTGATCACTGATCACCATAACAAATATGATAATAGTGAGGAGGTTTGAAATATTGTGAGAATTACCAAAATGTGACACAGACGTGAAGCGAGCAAACACTGTTGGAAAAATAGTGCCAATAGACTAGCTCAACACAGGGTTGCCACAAAGCTTCAATGCGTAAAAAACAGAATATACGCAAAACACAACTACAGCACAATAAAATGAGGTATGTTTGTAGTAAAAATCATGGCTCTAAGATGATACTCCCCCCCCACCACATGGACAATTCTTAGTATCCATAAACCTATCTGAACCTAGAAGTGCAGAAGAGATTGGAAAAACAAAACAAAACAGAAAAAACTCGTTAAGTCCTTATTGTTAAAATGTTGTACTCTGGGATAATGAAAGGCTTGTTGTCAAAACAATTCCAGGCATAATCTTTAGATATTACATCTAACATCAAATCATTTTCTTCAATACTGACCCTATCTTCGCAATATGGAAGTATTCTGATTTTCCATAGTGCAGTCAACCAAAATTCTTTCAACCGGTAGGGACCAGTTAAAAATACTTCCTTAACTTCTTTAAAAAAATTACAGGCAAAGGTGCCAAGTAATGATCAAGACAATGACTGCATGATCATCACAAATTTTTTTCTATTTTGATGATTCAAATGACTACTTAATACTTACATTAAATACTGAAAGGGATTTAGCAATCTGAAATGCAATATTAATTGTGTTAAATATCTGTAACAAAAAAGAAAAATGAAATTCCAAACTAAGTACTTTACTCAGAAATGTGTTTAAAAAACAACTGGAATTAGTTAGGATTCAGTGGAACATGAATATAAGCTAGGGAATCTTCTTGCTAAGTTTTCCCGATAACTTATAATTGATCAGAATCTTTAAGGATATTTCCAAGAATGTTATTACTTTAAAATTCTTTTTTTTTTTTTTTTTTTACCAATTTTACCTGCTTTGACAAACTTTGGACTGATTCTGTCCCTACTTCCCAAACACTCCGAAACATTTTACTTTCTCATAAGTTGAAATGCTATGTCAATTAGACAGTGGAAAACCTGACTTTAAAGCTCAGCTTTAGCTTATTATTACAGATAAACTGTGCACAAGTCTTAATAGTTACATAACTGACTCTGGCTTCTAGTCCATAAAAACTGAAATGAATTACCAAAAATGGGATATATGATAAAAGAATGCCTAATTTAAAACATCCTGTATTTGGTGATCTGATATCAGATTTCAGAGAAGCAAGAATAAAGTGACAGCTTGGCAGTTACGCTATTAGGAATTTTTTATAGGCTTTACCTTAGGCCTGCCAGCTGTATCTCTAGTTGCTAATATTTTTTATTATATGTCAAGCAAAATGCCTCTTTAGGAGAACCCAAAGAAAAATATGAATAAAATCTTAGTGGTTATTATAAATACGTGTACACACTTAAAATGCGAAGTAAATTATAGTCATATCTGCTGAAAATTACTGTTATAAATACTAGTACATTCCATAGTTGGGGAGGGGGGGAGTTGAACATAAGGAGTTTTAATATTGAGAGGAAAACAGTATTTTAACAGACTTTAGGAGTTGATTTTTTTCCCACTAATATCAAGTACCTTGTTTTAACAAGGACTTGTTAAAACAATTCTTTTTCATGGAAATATAGGAGAAATAAATCTTTTGGTAAATTGTATATGTTGTCAACAAGAGATGTTATCAAATCTACCACAAAGAATGTATTTAAAGTATTTCCTGATGTGAAGAAAAATAAAAAATATAAATACAGGAACTGATAATATAGGTACAACCAAGTGTCTAGAAAGACATTTTCGTCTATAATGGCTTATAAAAGTAATCTTTAAGTCAACTGCATGAAGCTATGTCAAAACACTATCTGCTGGTACCTTTTTTGTCTTTTTTAAAGACTTTTTAAAGATTTGTCTTAGGTAAACTGAAGATTCTGATATTTGTTAAATTCATGCAAGTTAGGCACACTTGAAGTTTGTGTTTAAGTTACATGTTCACATATTACATGTCATTTTAATTTATTCCAGCAAGAACAAGTTCATGTGATTTAGTATCTTTCAAACCAGCCCACAAAGAAGTATTCATTATCAGAAATCATCAGATGAACCACAGCCTATTGAAAGAGTAGCATCCTCACCAGACTGATGATGCGTATGGCGTCCAGATGCCTCCACAGACTGCCTTTGTTCATTGTCTGGAGAAGACAGCAAAGAAGTAGAATGAGGGCTTTCTGTAGAAGGGGATGTCGAATGAACCTGAGCTGACACTGCAGCGGACGTAGAAGGCTGAAGAGACTGTTCAGCTGAAGGATCTACTTCCATTGCACTTTCCCCCACTTCCAAATCGGTACTTGATGGGACCGCAGGAAGAGCAGACACATCTGACTGGCTCGTTCCACCTTCAAAAAACACATGTTAGTGCAAATTCAAAAACTAACTGCTTTCCAAAACCAGCTACTCTAAAGAGATATGTTCAAGAAATATATGTACACTTGTACATACATGTAACACACACAGAGAAACACGTAATTTCAGGATATCAAAAGCACCCAGTGGTGGTTTGATCCCTTTGAGCAAATAGGCTAACCAAAGGGGTAAAAATCTATCTACAGAACACTGTTGTTAATCAGTCTTTCAAGATCAATATGGTACCTTCATTTAGACAAAGCTAATAATAGGTTGTAAAATGCCTATATATAAATAACATCTAATCCCTTTAACTTGAAGATGATGATTCTGATTTAATGACTGGATAATCAGAGAATGGATTTTATTTATTTTTTTTTTGAGAGAGAGCATGCACAAGACCAGGGGTGGGAGGGCAAACGGAGAGAGAGAATCTTCAGTAGGCTCCACGGCAAGCAGAGAGCCCCACACAGGGCTCAGTCTCATGACCCTGAGATCATGACCTGAGCCAAAATCAAGAGTCAGATGCTTAACCGACTGAGCCACCCAGGGGCCCAGGAGAATCAATTTTATTGATATATTTCCATTCTATAACGTAATATCTTTGGTAAATACTTAAGAAAAATCTTATTGGGAAGAGTAAAGTTACAAATAGGTCAGAATTAGATTAAGTTCCTGATTCCTACTTCATTAGCAATAATGTCTTAACCACCAAACTAACATGATGCAGTCATGATTTAAAAAGGCTTGAGTGTCTACTATGTCTTATGCTAGGCTTTGTGCTATCTGCAAAGGAATAATTAGGAATAGTCCATAAACATTAACAATTTTCCCTCAAGTCTAGATGTTATTAAAAGAAAGATGGAATGGACTAATCTAGTTCATGTCTTGCAAAATACAACTATCAGAGAATATGAAGTTTTCTCTTTTAATCACCATGATTTAAATATTTCTTATTTTAAATTTAAGCACAAATTCAATAACTCTTAAGCAAATCCACAGTCCAAGGAATTTTTTTAAAAGTTAATTGAAATAAGGGGTTAATAAGAATCATTTATGGAAAAATTCAATATAATTTTTTATTTTGGGTTTTTGAAACAATTAGGAGTTAACTTTTATACTCCTCATTTTTGACAGATAAGTAACTTGCCCAAGACTCCAAAGCTAGAAAGTAGTGAACCAAGATATGAAAACAAGTCAGCTAACACTAGAAACAGCAATTAATAACCAATGCCTAAGTAACATAAAGGAGAAACTATTCCATTATATAAAACTTCTTATCTACAGAGTTTTATATATTTCCATTCTCAGAATGCATACAAAAATATATTGGGATATATAAGGGAAATATCAGACTTTCTTATTTTCTTGAGAAAAGCAAAGAATAAGGACTAGGTCTACTGGAACATGAAGGGACAAATTATACCCAATACCCTTGGTCCTCTACTGCTTCACACAATATAGTTAAGAACCTATGACTATTATAGATATAAAATGGTATAAATGGAATGACATAAATAAAACAAATGTCAATAAAACAGACTTTGCGAGCTTTTGGTTGACTTTAATTAATAAGAAAAATTACCTCTTGGCCGAGATCTTCCTCGTCCTCCATTGCTTTGTGCAACTTCACTTGCTTCTTCAAACCACCTTGATAACATGTCAGACATTCTCTGCATCAGTGACACATTGGGACTTTGCTCACCTATCACAATACAGGTCTTATCAGTGAATAGTAGTAAGTCAGGATCTTTCATTAACGTAAAAACCCAGATTCTGAGGCCTTTAAAATGAGAGCATTTAAAAAAAAAAAGAATCAAACTGCCTAAATAAATTCTATGAATGTATATAAATCTATTAGAGCTATCATCACATTTCATAGTAAATGTCTATGTAAGTGACTCTCCATTTGTATTTTGAGTTCCTTAAGAATAGGATTTACATCTCCTGTATCTTTGTCTATTCTTAGGTACCTCCACACCTCCCAACCCACATCTTTATTTCCACCAGTGCACAGCTAGGAAGGGCTCATGAATTGTAAACTGAACTGATTAAAAGAAAGGTTTGCCCTCTCACTTAAATTTCCTTAAACTCAATTTATTTTCACCACACTGTAAGCATATTCCATATATTTGAAATTAACAAAACCCAAAAGGTATTATATTTGTCTCTTCCCTCTACTCCTTTCCTCCTTCAAATACGAGTTTTCTCTTAAGGGAATCATCAAATTAAATATGACATCAAAACTGACAATTCTATTCTATAATCATATAATTTAAAATGCAAATCATTTGTTCTTGGATGTTCTGTGAAAATGGAATTTTACACTTTATTGCCTTTATATAATGTTGCTTTATATTTAAATATATATTATAAGATGATACCAAGGATAATATATTGGGGAATATGCTTTTGATCTTAAAAGAATTCACAAGTCATTAAAGTAAGATTTTGGCTACAGACCAACTATTAAAATACACACAGATCAATTCCATTTTAAAAGTGTACCATCTTAAAGCTCCCAAGGTAGTTTCTTATGCTTGTCAAAGGCACTTGATAAAAGAAAAAAAATTTTTTACCCATTATAAAACTCTTGGGTTGGAAATTGAAGAGTTTTTATTTCTCTTTATATCTAATAGGCAAAATTTAAGAAGTTTGATGATGTCCAGTGTTTTATATGGCAATGGGCATTCTCATGCTTCCAGTAGGAATGTAAAGTAGTGCATTCATTTTGGAGGGTAATTTGATAGCTAACAAATTTAAAATGCACTATCCAGTGAACCAGTCGTTCATTCCACTTTTAGGAATTTATCCTCAGATACACTTGCCCAAGCATGATAAGAATATGTACAAGGATATTTGTTTCAGCATCACTGATAATAGCCAAAAAAACAAAAAAACAAAAACAGAAACAAGTTAAAAGATTAATTTTTTAAATTTCATATTAGAAAAGGCTGACCAAAGTAGAGTTACCATCTCGTTCTCGTTCACTCTCAGGCCTCGCTCGGGGTCCAGTATCTGACCAATCACCACGAAGTCTCAAACGCTTCACTGGAGGCTGTCGTAACTAAAAGATGAAGAGAAAACTCATTTGCTCAAGTCTTAAAGCACAATTTAAGTCTAACAGATTCTTTCCATGCCCTTGCTTTCTTTATTGAGTATGCAAAAGATCCTAGGTCAAAATATGAAAGACAGCTCTTATAATGATGGTATCTATTGATGGTACAGCCTACCCTTAACATCTTCACCCTAAAGAGTTTGAATGTAACTTTGAAATCATGTATATGTGACTTCTAATCACTTTACAGCTGACAACAAGAAAGTTATTTAACCACAATGAGCTTGAGTTTTCTATTACGATGATACAGGTAGTCTAAAGTAAAGTACCTACATACCTGACAACAGGAATTATCACTATTTTATTATTATTGACAGTTTACTCTCTGGGTCCCCCTATCTACTGCAACCCTTCACTACTCACCTCAGGGTCTCTACTCTACCTCGTTTCCCTCATTCTTGGCTAATAACTCTTCCTCCTACTTCAGAGAAAATAAAGTCAGTCCTGCAGAAATGAAAGTAATTTCTTCAGCTGCATTCTACAAACTTACCAATAATCTACAACTTCTTAATTCCTTCCAACCTTTCTCAGAAGATATATCATTTATTTTGTTTAAGCTTAATCTCTCCACTGTGCTTTTTATTTTATTCCTTCAGTTACTCAAGCACCTTGCTTTGACAATTACTCTTTCCCATACATACATTCATTTCCTCTCTCATTTCTTCCTTACAATATGCTGAAGGTTCTTACCATTTTGAACAAACAAAACACCTCAATTTTATACTTCTATCCAGCTATACTCTTTTCCCACATTTTCTGAAGCTTTATTGTCAAGCTTCTTGAAAAGAAATCTATATTTAATCCACCTTTATCTACCATTCCTCCCTCAGTTTACTGTAGTCACCTTACCTTCCCATCTTTCCACCGAATTCATTCTCACCAATGTCACCAATGAGTGATCAATGGCTAAGTTCACTGATCAGTGATAAAATGATAATCAATTGCCAATTCAAATGGCACCTTTCACAACTTATTTCATTTGATGCCTACGGCACTTGACATGCTTGATCATTCTAAGTTTTATATTTTTAACATTTTTTATTAAGATAACACACATACCATAATATTCACCCTTTTGAAGTATGTAAGTCAGTGGTACATATGCACAAAACTGTGCAACCACTTGTACCACCACTAATTCCAGAACATTTTCATCACCTCAAAGAGAAATCCTATCACTGTGAGCAGCTGCTCCCCACTTCTCCTGCCACTCAGCTCCTGGTGACCACTAATCTACTTTCTATCTCTAGGGATATGCCCATTCTGGACATCTCACATAAATGGGATAATATGTGGCCCTCTCTACCTGGCTTATTTCACATGGCATAATATTGTCAAAGTTCATCCATGTTGCACCATGTATCAGTATTTCATTTCTTTTTATGGCTCAATAATACTCCATTATTTGGATATACCATATTTTGTTTATTCATTCATCAGTCTATGAGCACTGAGTTGTTTCCACTTTTTGGCTGTTGTGAATAATGCTGCTATGAACATATGTGCAAGCTTTTATGGGGACATATGTTTTCAGTTCTCTTCAGTATATATCTAGAAATGAAATTGCTGGATCATATGATAACTCTATGTTTAACTTTGGAGGGACTGCCAAACTGTTTTCCAAAGCAGCTGCACCATTTTACATTCCTACCAGCAATGTGTGAAAGCTCCAATTTCTCCACATCTTCATCAACACTGTTATTGACTTTTTTTATTTTAGCCAACCTAGTAAGTGCGAAGTGGCACCTCACTGTGGTTTCGATATATTTTGGTTACTAGATTCTAAATCATAAATCAAATATATGATATACAAACATTTTTTCCCATTGTGTGGATCACTCCCTTTATTTTTATTTTTAACATAACATTCATTGATTTTTTTTTCTGACAATTAAGCAGATTTTGACAGAAACTTGGTGACAGCTTAGCTGCAAATTTTGTTTTCTCCTGGAAACCATACTGAGCAACAAGATGGAAAAAAAAATCTCTACACCCTCAGCAAAGAACACAGAAAAAAAAACCCTTACAAATTCCCTAAGTATGTAAATATGGCTAGAAGCAACAAAGAAGAGCAAAATCTGCACAGGAAGCCACAAGTGTGACACGGAATGATCAGAAGATTAGAGAAAGCCTAGTGTGGCAGCTGTCCACAATCTTAGACAAACAATCATTTCCAGAAACAGAGGGCCTCCCTCTGTATGTGAAATATATTTAGAATAGAAAAGAGTCCTGCTCCATAGTTATGAGAGAGGAATTTTATATTATACAAGCAAAGAACTAGTTTTATAACCTCAGCAACTATTTCTGGAACAAGATCTTCAAATTAAAAACAGGCCCAAGTTTGAGTTTTTGAGACAGGCAAAATAACCTAGCCAAGAATACTGAAAATGCTACAAGCAGTAATTCAATCATTCAACAAAGACTTTTCTGAGCACCTTCTATGTATCAGGCACTACTCTAGGTACTGGGAAAAGATCAATGGATAAATCATGCAAAAACCCCAATGTCCCAGAGTTTATAAACTAGTGGAGTAGATGAACAATACATGATAAAAAAGTAAAATATACAAAGAAAGTGTTAAGTGTTATGGGAAAAAAAACTAAGAAGACAAAGAAGATGGGCAGTACCAGGGAGTTAAGGGCTGTGATTTTATTTATTTTTTTTAAAGATTTTATTTATTTATTTGACAGAGAGAGACATAGTGAGAGCAGGAACACAAGCAAAGGGAGTGGGAGAGGGAGAAGCAGGCTTCCCGCTGAGCAGGGAGCCCGATGTGGGGCTCGATCCCAGGACCCTGGGATCATGACCTGAGCTGAAGGCAGATGCTTAACGACTGAGCCACCCAGGTGCCCCAAGGGCTGTGATTTTAAACAGGGTGGTGAAGTAGGGCCTCGCTGAGAACATGACAAGGGCGAAGATCTAAAATAGGGAAGAGAAGATGAAATCCAGATATGTGGGAAGACCATTTCATATGCAGTAAATGCAAAAGCCATAAGGGAGAAGCATGTTCAGGCTGCCTGAATAAGTCAGTAGACGTGGCCAGAGCAGAGTACAGAAGTACTGAGAAAACAGTAGAAGTCACCAGAACCACATGATATAAGCTCTTGAATCCACTGTTGGGACCTTAGTTTTGCTTTGAGGAGATGGAGAGCCACTTGGGAGTGTTGATCAGAAGAGTAGCATAATTTGACTTGGTTTTAAAGGATCACTGGGCTGCTATGTAGCTAAAGGACTGTGGGGTCGGGGGGTGAAAGTAGGGGGACTGGTTAAAAGCTACCACAATAATCTAGGACAGAGAGTGAGGCCTTGGATCAGGGTAGTAGTGGTAGTCAGAATGGGAAGTAGTACTACAGATCTGGGATATGTATTTTTGGGACAAACCATGGGGACAGGAGAAAATGAGAGACTGGATTCAACAAAGTAGTCCAATAATGGAGTGGGGCAGGTGAGGAAAATGTCAAATAGATATTAGAGGAAAAGGAAGATAGCAAAGACAAAAAAAAAAAAAGGAATACAAAAATGAAGAAAAATGAGAAGTAAAAAAATTGAATAAGAAAAAATACTAAATAAGGGAAAAATGAAAGAAATTCTTAGAGGATTAAAAATTAAGAAAATATAAAAATATTTATTAAGAATTTGGAAAATATACAAATACCATTAAAACATAAAAAAATCATTATGTGAAACTTTGATTTATATCTTAAAATCCTGTTCAATCATTTCTTACATTTCTAATCAAAATACATTATTCCTTCCTTTGCTCTTATATAGAACATAACTCTTATATATAATTCTATTAAGTTTTACATATTCATTTATTTATATCTCTATTTCCACTAAACCATAAATTCCTGAGTGAGAGGCCATGTCTCTGTCACAGTCATCCTCGCGTTTCTTAAGTTTCTACAGGATCTAGTGTAAGTAGGTGCCCAATAAATATTTGGTGAGTTGAGTGTGTCTGAACACTACTGTCAAGGATTTAGCATAAAACACTGAAGAAAAGGTGGTAAGCTTAAGAAGGGGACAGACTACTAATTTCTTCTTCTATATACACCTGTGAATTGCTTGGTTTATTATACTAAGCATGATTTATTTTTATAATTTTAATCCATTTTCAGAATTATTTTTCTTAATTTAGTTAATTCAACAAAGAATACTAAGAAAACCATATTTAGGATATAACCAAGTGTTCATGACTCAGCCTCATTCACTCTGATGCAAACACATTTTGGCTAAGTATTCTATGGTATAAAAGTTGGTTGGCCCACTTAAAATGTTTCTGCATTTCCGACTTTCATTATGTAAGAGTCACAGAGCTGGACTGTAACTTCACTGGAGCACATATCTCAAGAGGAATTACACAACAGCAACAAAATGAAAGAGCAGATCTCATGTTTTCAGTAACACCAATAAACTCAAAATAGCTTTCATTAGCCAGCATACCCTTTTCTTTGTCAACATCCTAATTCACTTAAATACACTGGCACATTTAAAATTCCAAAAAAATATTTATAAAGTTATCCTGATTTTCCCCTAATTTTATAGCCATCTAAACATGCAATCATAAGAACTGGATATAGTTTTGGATATGACAGGAATTAGAAAATTGTTGTTCTTTATTAACTTTAAAATATGTTCACTAATAGGAGTTGGTCCAATACCAAAAAGTCACTAATAATTAATAAAGCAACAGTTAATTTCAAAAACATTTACAAGCCAAACAGTAGAGTGATTAAACATAAGACATTAAAAAAAAAAAGCCAAAGTGAAAAATATATTGGAGAAAGAAGCTAAATGGGTTAAAACAAATATTTTTCTATTGCTGCATACTTCAAGGATATATTATTTCTGGTTTTTGCCTTTATAAATAAGAAGATGGTTTGCTACTTTATTTTTTTATTTTTTTTATTTTTTTTTAGATTTTTTATTTTTTTATTTGAGAGAGAGAGAATGAGAGATAGAGAGCACGAGAGGGAGGAGGGTCAGAGGGAGAAGCAGACTCCCCGCCGAGCAAGGAGCCCAATGTGGGACTCGATCCCGGGACTCCAGGATCATGACCTGAGCCGAAGGCAGTCACCCAACCAAGCCACCCAGGCGCCCCTACTTTATTTTTTTAAATATTTTATTTTTAGGGCGCCTGGGTGGCTCAGATGGTTAAGCATCTGCCTTCGGCTCAGTCATGATCCCAGGTTCCTGGGATCGAGTCCCGCATCAGGTTCCCTGCTCAGTGCAAAGCCTGCTTCTCCCTCTGTCTCTGCCATTCCCTCTGCTTGTGCTCTTCTATCTCTCTGTCAAATAAATAAATAAAATTTTCAAAAAAAAAAAGATTTAAATATTTTATTTTTAAGTAATCTCTATACCTATACTATGTGGGACTTGAACCCACAACCCCAAGATCAAGAATCATATGCTCTACTGACTGAGCCTACAAGGCATCCCAATGGTTCACAATTTTAGAGTCACCTAATTTTCAATATATAATATATGTATATAGATCTATATATAATAGATATAAAATGCGATATATATACTTCAATAAGGCTAAATGTTTATGTTCACCAACAGGATTTTACCTATTACCATTTACTATTCATATGTGGACAGCAATTCCCTCCTCTCCCCATGATGTGTGTGTGTGTGTATATGTGTGTATTTGTGTGTGTATGTGTGTGTGTGTGTGTGTGTACTTTAACTTACCTTATTCTCACTTACTTATATGCATTTTGTAAAATGCACCTCGGGATGTAGGTTACTAGTTCTTAACTGTGACAGAGAAGCATGATCAGGAGAGAAGGGGATTGCTGTCCACATTTGAATAGTAAATGGCAACAGATAATACTCCTACTGGTGTATAAACATAAACATTTAGTCTCTTGGGAGTTTACACATCCCACTTTTTATTATTTTAATTGTTTTTTCTACAACTGGTAAAACTATTGATATTTCTTGCTTGCTGCTGTGCATCCATAAAGTTAAAGAAACATTTTGCTATTAAATATTTTCTCTTTAAAAATATTTCACAACACTTTTTTCTAGAGCCTTATCCTAAATTATTAGCCCCTGTTCTTTCATGTATATTCCATGTCCTTTTACAAAACCTGGACTATAAATACCTTGAAAATCAATTCTATTTTTTGAAGCCCCCTTCAGGCCCGGGGAGTCACTGAATTAATGTTTTCTGAACTGAATGAAGAATATGGTTTTGAGTCAACTTACCTCTTCTCTTCTTTCTTCTGCAGAAGGAGTTTTAAGTTCTCGTGCTGTATCATCTTTCGGGTCAAAAAGATATATGTAATCTGAAGAGTAACTAACAAGAATCTCTTGGCCGTCCTCACTGTAACACAGGGATGTCACCCTGCAGGACTTATTATTAAGATGAGAAGGGATGAAACGGGCAACCATTCCAGTAGTTCCTCGACCTGCATAATTCCCTAAATAAGAAAACAGGAAGTCGTATAAATTTTTTAAGAAAACCATTTTAAAAACTCTTAATCCGAATTATGAGATACGTCATTTAATGTAGCAATATAAAATCCAAACTATCATATTCTATTTCTAGAAGAGGCTGTTTTCTCAACAGTCTGATTTTATAACAAAATAATAAAGAATACAATATAATGGCTACATAGCTCCAAAAAAAATTTCCTGAGTGGCTGGAATTACGTAGATTATATAAATGTTTTACAGATTACATAAATGTTTTATTTGAAATAGGAGTTATTTAATCAATCAAAATGATTTGTGATTATAGTTACACTAAATCATCTTCCAAAAATTTCTGCCCAATGAAGATAATATAATTTTTATAATATAAATAGGTGAGTTTATATTTATTATTGGCATACTAGATAAAATAGTGCATTTTTCCTTTAAAATGATTTACGTTTTGCTTTAGGTTAAAAAAAATTTTTTTTAGTTTATTTATTTTTTCTTAGTAATCTCTATATTCAACGTGGGGCTCGAATTCATGACACTGAGATCAAGAGGTGCATACTCTTCTGACTGAGCCAGCCAGGCACCCTTATGTTTTCGAAAGATTTTTGATTGTCGTGAAATTCTCCTCTTATAAAATAAGAGTGGGGACAGTATTCCAACTTTAATTAATTTTGGCAGTCATCAATATAATATATTAGGGAGGGGTCCAATTGCCATTTTCTGCCCCTGGAGGTCTGGAATGCTAAATTCTAAGAGTCCCACAAAACTGTATAATATTGCACAAGGAGAGCTTGTCCTGTCCAAAATGTCAATTGTGTCCCATCTGTTGAAAAAGAATAATTTAGCTTATAATTTCATCTTATACTACTACTGTTTCCCCTAAAAGCACATATCCAAATCAGTAAGATTTCTCAATCATAGTTCCAAAAAACAAAACAATAAAACACCTAGTCTTCCTTTTTATTTTAATCTTTTTTTTCTTTTTAAGAGAGTATGCACATGAGTGAGGGGAGGGCAGAGGGAGAAGGAGAGAGAGAATCTCCATGCCCAGCATGAAGCCCAACTCAGGGCTCGATCTCATGACCCTGAGATCATGATGTGAACTGAAATCAAAAGCTGGATGATCAAATGATTGAGCCACCCAGGCACCCCCAACCTAGTCTTCCCATTTCAATAATCTATGTCCATTTTTACTGGACATAAATAGACACTGAGATTGACATTGTTAGTTTCTGGCCAAGTCCACTTTTATTTTTAGCAATATAAAACATGTGAAAATGTATAAATGTATGTATATTTGGTGGGTGTATGGGTATATAATCCTGGCCTTCCATTACTGAGAAAATGCTAATAAGCTGGCTTTAAATTGAATATTTCGGAGGTGGTTTCACCCCATAATGGATGGGGAGCAAATGAGGAGTTCAAGAGAGATTCAACTTCAGTGCTGCAACATCAGTAATAGTACTTAACTGGGCATAAACAAACGCTGTACATGAACATGTACCCAAGTCACTGTTCTTCCCTAACTTTCCTCTCTACCACAAAGAGAAATTAGGAAAGCCAAGTGTTGTGAGCTGATAGTGTCCCCCCACCCCGCCAAGTTCGTGTCCATCAGGAACTCAGAATGATTATGGAATATTAGGAAATAGGGTCTTTGCAGATGTACTGCAAAGATGTCATACTGCATTAGGGTGGGCCCTAGATCCAATATGACTGGTGTCCTAATAAGAAGAGAAAAATGTGGACTCAGATATACACAGGGGAGGATGGCATGTACATGTGGAAGCAGACAGTGAAAGGAAACATTTAAAAGCCAAAACTGGGGGTGCCTGAGTGGCTAAGTTGGTTGTGCATCTATCTGCCTTTGGCTCGGGCCCTGATCGCAAGGTCCTGGGATCGAGCCTTACGTTGAGCTCTCTGCTCAGCAGGGAGTCTACTTCTCCCTCTCACTCTCCCTCTGTGCTCTAATAAATAAATCTTTTTAAAAAATAACAATTAATCAATTAATTAATTAAAAGCCAAAACTGCCAGCAACCACCAGAAGCTAGGAGAGAAGCATGCAAGAGTCTTCCTGAGAGCTGCCAACAGAAAACCTGTAATACCCTGATTTTAGACATCTAACCCCCAGAAATGTGAGAATCAATTTCTGTTATCTTAAGCCACCCAATTTGTGGTAATTTGTTATGACAGCTCTAGGAAACTAATACATCAACTGTCACAACTTTTTAAAGTGATAAACTGCAAAAGTATCACCTTGATAGGGCCATAAAAACTTGGTAAAATGCTATTTTTATGTATGTATGCTACATGCCCAGCATGGAGTCCAACTCAGGGCTTGAACTCATGACCCTGAGATTAAGACCTGAGCTGAGATCAAGAGTCAGATGCTTGGGACACCTGGGTGGCTCAGTTGGTTAAGCGTTAGGCTTTGGATCAGGTCCTGCATCGGGCTCCTTGCTTGGTGGGGAGCCTGCTTCTCCCTCTGTCTGCTGCTCCCCCTGTTTGTGCTCTCTCTCTCTCTCTGACATAATAAAATAAAATCTTAAAAAAAAAAAAAGTCAGATGCTTAACTGATTGAGCCACCCAGGTGCCCTAGTAAAATGCTCTTTCTTATAATAATCCATACTGTTTAAATACTTACTGAATTTATTTTAAATATTTACTGAATTTTATGAAACTAATGAAATTTTTGAACTGCAAATATGTCATAAAGATTTATTCTTTGAACTGACAGAATCTTATATTTTCTCTAATATACAGCTTTTTACCTGTGGCTCTTGTGCCCAGCATTCGCCGATCATATATTCGTACTGAGCTATCTGAACAACCAACAGCAAGATAATATGGTATTGGTGGACAAATAGCTACAGATGTGGCAGCACGTCGGCAGTTAATTAAAATATCCTGTAAAAGATAAAACAACACCAGTTACACACAGCACTGCCATAGAGAGGTTACTCTAAAGGTTTAAAACATTGAAATATTTTAACATTTAAAACATTTTCCTTCTAATTAGAAGAAAATAACCTTTTGCAGAAATCCTAACTCAGTATGATAATGAGAAGGAAAAACAACATGGTTTTTTTTTAATTTATTTTTCAGATTTCTATCTGTGTTTCCAACAAATTCAGCTTCTGTGAGGCCAAAATAAATAAACTCAGTTAATAGTCCCCCTCGGCAGTTTATTCCTCTAAGGGAAATTCTTTTTTTCTTTACAGTTTGCTACACAACTTCAACACTGACTTCTAATACAATATTGTACATTTTCCTTATAAACCAACCAAAATAAAAAATACATATGGAAATATAAATTTAATTAGCAGTTGAAAAAACAATATTTGAGTAATGCAAATTGCATTTTGAAGAGAAAAAAAAAATCACTCCCAAATATAAGACTAAAACACTGAGTAATTACGTTAGATCAGCAAAATTTAATACAATCAAATTCACCCATAATTTTATAACCCAGAGATAACTTACTGTCCAATTTTAATTATATTTTTAATTTTTTGTCATTTATATAAAAATTTAATCCTTACATCTTTGCAATCTTCTTTTGTGCAGCTAGTTTTGATGCGTGTATCAAACCACCGAACGGTTCCATCTTCACCACAAGAGAGAAAAGTATATGGGTCATTGGGTACAGTCATAATCTGTAGATGAAAACGAAAGCACAGGTAATGCTATTAAACTTGTAAACAGATGGCTTTGAAAGACATTACGATTATTTTATAAAATAAAGAATAAAGAAGTAAAATTGTTTTTATATTCATAGACGATTTGATCATCTAAGAAGAAAATCCTATGTAATTAATTTTTAAAATATTTATTAGAATAAGTGAATTTAGAAAAGTTGCAGGATATAAGGTCAGTATATAAAAATCAATTGTATGTCTATGTACTAGCAACAAAACCATTAGAAATTGAAAATTTAAGAATAATAACATTTACAATAACATGAAAAATATAAAATGCTTAAGGATATATAAGACATATAACACTGAAAATTACAAAACATTACTGAATAAAATTAAAGTCCTAAATAACAGGAGATAAACTGTGTTCATGGATTGGGAGATTTAATATTGTCAATTCTCCCCAAATTGATACTTAGATTTCAAATAAATTCCAGCAAGATTTTTGGCAGAAATGACAATTTGATTATCAAATTTATGTGGAAATACAAAAGACCTAAAATACCTTAAGTATGTTGCAAAAGAAGAACAAAGGACTTATACTACTGGCTTCAACAGTTACTATAAAGCTATAGTAATTAAATTAGTGTGATAGAGGCTTAATGATAAATCACTGGAAAAGAATAGGTACTGACCAAAAATAGATGAAAATACATATGGCCAAATGATTTATGATGGTGCAAAGAAAATTCAGTGGAGAAAGAACGGTGTCAGAAAACTGGATATCCATATGCAAAATAATGAACTTTCAAGCAGTACTTCATACTTTCTTTAAAAATTAACACAACAGGGGCGCCTGGGTGGCTCAGTTGGTTAAGCGGCTGCCTTAGGCTCAGGTCATGATCTCAGGATCCTGGGATAGAGCCCCATGTTGGGCTCCTTGCTCAGCAGGGAGCCTGCTTCTCCCTCTGCCTGCCATTCCCCGTTTGTGCTTGCTCTCTGTCTCTCTGTCTCTCTCTCTCGCTCTCTGTGTCAAATAAATGAATAAAAAATCTTTAAAAAAAATTAACACAACATGAAAAACTAATGATGTATGGTGATTAACATAATAAAATAAAATAAAAATAATAAAGGGTAAAAAAAATTAACACAACATGGATCATTGATCTGAAGTGTAAAACATAAAACTATAAAACTTCTAAGAAAAAATCTTTGTGACTTTTTGGTTAAACAAAGATTTTTAGATATAATATTGGTCCATAAAAACAAAGAACTTAGATAAAATGGGCTTCCTGAAAATTAAGAACTTCTTTTGGAAGGACAATGTTTAGAAAATGAGAAGACAAGCCACTGACTAGGAGGAAAAAATTATAAATCATACCTGAAAAATATCTAAAACATATTTTAAAAATCCCTCAAAACTCAATAATGAGAAATAATCCCTCAAAACAGACAATTCACCAAATACATAAAGATGATAAACAAGCATATAAAAAGTATGCTCAACATCATTAGATAATGGGGAAATAAAAGTTAATAACACAAGAGATTCCATTATATATCTATTAGGATATCTAAAATAAAAAAGATTGACCATAGCAAGTGTCAAAAGGATACAGAACAACTGGAACTGTCAGGCACTGCTTACAGAAATGTAAAATGATACAAGCACTCTGGAAAACATTTCCACCGTTTCTTAAAAAGTTACACTTATACTCCTAATATAACTCAGTCATTCCATTCCTAGGTGTTTACCAAAGAAAAATGAAAGTACATGTCCATACAAAGACATTTATACAAATATTCAAAATAGCTTTATTTGTAACAGCCCAAAACTAGAAACAACCCAAATACTTAACCAAAGATGAAATATAAAGAAACTGTGATGTATTTCTATAAAGGAATACAACTCAGAAATAAAAAGTTAGCTACTGATACTCTAAACAACATGAATGAATCTCAAACATGAGTATTATGCTAAGTGAAAAAAAATCAGACCAAAGGAAGAATACATGTAGTTTGATTATATAATCTCATTCATATATAATTCCACAAAAAATATAAATGAATCTACAGTAATTGAAAGATCAGTCATTTCCCAAGGATGTGGGTAAGTAGGGACAAGAGAGAGGAAGAAAAAAAGTGTATAAGGAAATTCTTGGATATAATGGATATATCCATTATCTTGACTATGGAGATTATTTCAAGGGACAATAAATTGTCAAAACTTACCAAACTGTATACTTTAAATGTATGCAGTTTATGATATGTTAATTAAACATCAATAAAGAACTTTCTAAATTCAACATCCATACAGAAGGGAATTTCCTTAATCTAATAAAAAAGCATCCATGAAAAATACTTTTGCAAATATGAGACCTAATGGGAAAATGGGAAAACCTTTCCCTGTGAGATCAGGAACTAAGAAAGGCAATCTGCTATCAACATTTCATTTAAAGATTACATTTGAGGTACTAACCAGTGCAATAAGTCAAGAAAAAGAAGCAAAAGGTATATGGGTTGAAAATAAAGAAAAATGTCATAATGCAAAAAGGATATGACTGTGTAGATAGAAAATCCACAAGAATCTAGAGTTAAATTATGAGAATTGATAAGTGAATAAAAAGATTGCTAGTTTTAAAATATTATAAAGTCAATTGTATTTTTTATACATTATAAAATTATATTTTTATAGAGTAACATTTAAAAACTAAAAAACAGTAACATTTAAAAACTAAAAAAAATAAATTTACAATAGTACTAAAATATCAAATACTTAAAAAAATTAAGGAAATTTGTACAGTAATGCCACATTAAAAATTATAAAATATTAGTGAGAGAAATTAAAAACCTTAGTAAATACAAAAATAGATCATCCTCACTGATTGGAAAATACAATAATTGTATTAGTTTGCCCTGAATTTATCCAGTCCTAGTTTGTTGAGAGTTTTTATTGTGAAGGAAATTACCTCAATCTAATAAAGACCATATATAGAATCTCACAGTTAACATCATATTCAATGGTGAAACACTGAAATAATCCACTAAATAATTCACTAAGATCAGGAACAAGGCACGAATGCCCCCTCTCATCCTGTCTATTCAACATAGTATTGAAGTTCTAGCTAGAGCAATCAGGCAAGGGAAAAAAAAAAAGCATTGAAATTAGAAAGGAAAAGGTAAAATTATTTGTTTGCAGATGATATGATCTTACATGTAGAAAACGCTAAAGATCCCAATACAAAATACTGTTAGAATTTATGAATACAGCAAAGCTACAGGTTACAAAAATCAACACACAAAAAACAGTTTTTTCTATACACTAACAATGAAAAATCTTAAAAGAAAATTAAGAAAACAATCTCATTTACAATAGCTATCTTCAACAAATATATGGAATGGGAGAACATGCGAACTCCGATAAGGCATTAATACCCGAAATATATAAAGAACCCCTTCAACTCAACAAGAACAAAAAAGCAAACCAATTTAAAATGGGCAAAGGACTTCAACAGACATTTCTCCAAAAAAGATATACAAATGACCAACAAGCACAAAAAGAGATACTCAACATCCCTAATTATTAAGGAATGTGAATCAAAACCACAATGAGGTATCTCCTCATACCCATTAAGATGGTCACTCTTGAAAAAAAAAATAATGTGTTGACAAGAATGTGGAAAAACTGGAACACTTATGCACTGTTGTTGGTAATGTAAAATGGGACAGCCACTATGGAAAACAGTAAAGGAGGATCCTTAAAAAATAAAAAATAGGGGGCATCTGGGTGGCTCAGTCTGTGGAACGTCCAACTTTTGATTTTGGCTTGGGACGTGATCTCAGTGTCATGGGATCGAGTCCTGTGTCAGACTCGAAGCTTGGCAGGGAGTCTGCTTGAAATTCTTTCCCTTCCCTTCTGCCTCTCCCCCTTGTGCTCGTGCTCTCTCCCTCTCTAAAATAAATAAATCTTTTTAAAAAATTAAAAATAGAATTATATGATGCAGCAAACCTACTTTTCGGTATATACAGCCAAAAAATGTAAAACAGGATCCCGAAGAGATATTTGCACCCCAATGTTCACTGCAGCATTATTCACAATAACCAAGAGGTGGAAGCAGCCCAAATGTCCATTGACATCAAATGGATTGTATGGTGTATATATATATACAATGGGAGAGAATTAAGCCTTAGAAAAGAAGCAAATCCTGCCATAGATTGACATGGATGAACCTTGAGGACATTATGCTAAATAAAATAAACCAGTCACAAAAATACAAATACTGCATGTTTGTACTTATATGAGGTATCTAAAATAATCAAACTCAGAAACAAAAATGGAGGTTCCAAAGGGAGAGGGGAAGAGGAAATAGCAGAACTGTTCAATGGATAGAGTTTCACTTTTGAAAAAATATTCCAACTACAATGTATATGTAGTCAGCAAAAAAACACCTTTGGAAAATGGGTATATACTGTTAAAATGTCCTTATAGAGAATGCCTCTTTGTCTGTATGCTATTTGGGATTCTGATTTAATTTTCCAAGAAATAAATTATGTTAATACAAAAATCCATACAGACAGGATATAAAATCAATGCACAGAAATCAGCTGCATTTCTATATACCAACAACAAGACAGAAGAAAGGAAATTAAGGAGTCGATCCCATTTACAATTACACCCAAAACCATAAGATACCTAGGAATAAATCTAACCAAAGAGGTAAAGAATCTGGACTCAGAAAACTATAGAATACTCATGAAAGAAATTGAGGAAGACACAAAGAAATGGAAAAACATTCCATGCTCGTGGACTGGAAGAACAAATATTGTGAAAATGTCCATGCTACCTAGAGCAATCTACATATTTAATGCAATCCCTATCAAAATACCATCAACTTTTTTCAAAGAAATGGAACAAATAATCCTAAAATTTGTATGGAACCAGAAAAGACCCCGAATAGCCAGAGGAATGTTGAAAAAGAAAAACAAAGCTGGTGGCATAACAATTCTGGACTTCCAGCTCTATTACAAAGCTGTCATCATCAAGACAGTATGGTACTGGCACAAAAACAGACACATAGATCAATGGAACAGAATAGAGAGCTCAGAAATGGACCCTCAATTCTATGGTCAACTAATCTTCGACAAAGCAGGAAAGAATGTCCAATGTTAAAAAGACAGTCTCTTCAACAAATGGTGTTGGGAAAATTGGACAGCCACATTCAGAAGAATGAAACTGGACCATTTCCTTACACCACAAACAAAAATAGACTCCAAATGGTTGAAAGACCTAAATGTGAGACAGGAGTCCACCAAAATCCTAAAGGAGAACACAGGCGGCAACCTCTTCAACCTCAGCTGCAGCAACTTCTTCCTAGAAACATCACCAAAGGCAAGGGAAGCAAGGGCAAAAATGAACTATTGGAACTTCATCAAGATAAAAAGCTTTTGCACAGCAAAAGAAACAGTCCACAAAACCAAAAGACAACCGACAGAATGGGAGAAGATATTTGCAAATGACATATCAGATAAAGAGCTAGTATCTAAAATCTATAAAGAACTTCTCAAATTCAACACCCAAAGAACAAATGATCCAATCAAGAAATGGGCAGAAGACAAGAACAAACATTTTTCCAAAGACGACATCCAAATGGCCAACAGACACATGAAAAAGTACTCAACATCGCTCAGCATCAGGGAAATCCAAATCAAAACCTCAATGAGATACCATCTCACACCAGTCAGAATGGCCAAAATTAACAAGTCAGGAAACGACAGATGTTGGCGAGGATGCGGAGAAAGGGGAACCCTCCTACCCTGTTGGTGGGAATGCAAGCTGGTACAGCCACTCTGGAAAACAGTATGGAGTTACCTCAAAAAGTTGAAAATAGAGCTACCCTATGACCCAGCAATTGCACTACTGGGTATTTACCCCAAAGATACAAATGTAGGGACCCGAAGGGGTACACAAACCCCAATGTTTATAGCAGCAATGTCCACAATAGCCAAACTATGGAAAGAGCCCAGATGTCCATCAACAGATGAATGGATAAAGAAGATGTCATATATATATATATATATATATATACACACACACATACACACACACACACACACACACAATGGAATATTATGCAATCATCAAAAAAAAATGAACTCTTGCCATTTGCAACAACGTGGATGGAACTAGAGGGTATTATGCTAAGCGAAATAAGTCAATCAGAGAAAGACAAGTATCATATGATCTAACTGATATGAGGAATTCTTAATCTCAGGAAACAAATTGAGGGTTGCTGGAGTCACCGGGGGGGGGGGGGGGGGGATGAGGTGGCTGGGTGATGGACACTGGGGAGGGTAGGTGCTACGGTGAGTGCTGTGAATTGCGTAAGACTGATGAATCACAGACCTGTACCTCTGAAACAAATAATACATTATGTGTTTAAAAAAAAAAAAAAAAAGAAGATAGTAGGAAGGGAAAAATGAAGGCGGGGGAGTCAGAGGGGGAGACGAACCATGAGAGACTATGGACTCTGAGAAACAAACTGAGGGTTTTAGAGGGGAAGGGGGTAGGAGGATGGGTTAGCCCGGTGATGGGTATTAAGGAGGGCACGTATTGAATGGAGCACTGGGTGTTATATGCAAACAATGAATGAATCATGGAACACTACATCAAAAACTAACAATGTAATGTATGGTGACTAACATAACATAATAAAATAAAATTTTAAAAAATCCATATGGAGAAAAAAAGTTTACTCTGACTTCATACTATCACAAAAATCAAATACAGGTGAATTATAAGACCTAAATGCAAAGACAAAACAATAAACTTTTTAAAAGAGAAAACAGAAGAATATCTCCATAATCTTGAGATAAGAAAAAATATTTTGACCAGGATGCAGAAAACACTAATAATAAAGGAAAAGACCAATATATTAGACAAACATTTGTTCATCCAAAGACACCACTAGGAGAGTGAAAATATAACCACAGAGTAAGGAAAGACAGGTTCATATGCAGAAGACATTAAGAAATTCCTATAAATCAAATATGAAATAAGATGACAAATCCAATGGAAAGATTAGGAAAGACATCTGAATAGGCACCTGACAGAAGAATATATCCAAATAACCAATAAACATATGAAGAGATGTACAACATCAGCAGCATCAACAGGGAAAGGCATTTGAAACCATAAGATGACACTATACAGGTTGCCAAAATTAAAGATTAGTAATACCATCTTCTTTGTTGGCAAAGATGAGCAACAATAGGAACTCTTATATACTATTGGCAGGAATAAAAGTTGTTACAATTATTTTGGAAAATTATTTGGTAATATCTCTAAAATAAACAAATATGTGTCATATGACCAAGCAAGTTTACTTCTAGTATATACCCAAAGAAGTGCATACATTTATGTACTTAGAGTCATGTAAAGGAATGTTCTCCAAATGGGAAATCAAATTTAAAATTTTCATCAACAGCAGAAGAAATCAATCAGTCATGGTACATTCACACGATGGAATGCTATACAGCAATGAAAATGAACAAATTATAGTTGCACCCAGCATGGATGAATTTCACAAATTACTAGAAGTCAGAATGAGGGGGCTTCTGGGATACTTAATGTTTTTATATTTCTTGACCTAGATAGTTGTTACATGAATAGATTTACTTTGTGATAATTTATTAAGCTATATACTTAGGATTTATGTACTTTTCCTACATGCTTTGTACCTCAATTAAAAAAAACAAAGTTTAATGATAGATGGAATAAAGTCAACATACATCTAATCAGAATTCCAGGAGAAAAAAATGGAGAAGGTAAAGAATAACCAAAGACCTACTGATTGCAAACTTCCCACATTTTTTCAAGATGCCAATTTCTCAGACCAAAAACATCAATAAATTCCAAATATGACAAATAAAAAGGAAATCCAAACCTAACTACAATTTGGTGATATTAATGAAGGAAAAAAACAGCAAAGAAAAATACAATTTTAAAGCAGCCAAGGAAGAGAGACAGATTAACTAAAAAGAAACCACAGACTAATGACTGAGTTCTCAACTTCAACAATAAAGTGAGAACACAGTGGGATATCATCTGAAATAAAATAACTATCAAACTAGATATCCAGCAAATATCCAGCAAAACTACCTTTGACGAATTGGTATAAAATTCTTCATTTTCTGGAAAGAGATGAAAAGGGAAGGAAGGAATGAAGAAAATAAAAGGATAAAAGGAAATGAAAATTGTTTCTATTAACAAACTCTCACTAAAGGAACTGGAAAGAATGTCCTTTAGGTACACAATGACCCTATATGGAGAATCTGTGGTGGAAGAGCCAAAGGTATTGGTAAATATGTAGGTAAATCTAAACAAATACTAACTAATGGGACAATGATAATATTTAATTTATGGGAGAAAAGATATAACTAAATTCAGAACAATATAAGCATAGAAAATTGGACAAGGGATGAAGGGATTAGAATGTTCTAAGGTGTTTTATTCAGGAGAAGGGTAAAGGTATTTATTGATTTTAGGCTTTGTCAATCATTCTTCTAAAACATGAATGTCTATCTTCCATGCAAGTAGCAGAAACAAAACAGACAAAAAGCAAAATCTTCAAGCAATTTTAAAGGAAGGCAAAAAGACGAGGGGAGATGTATAGAGGATATTAAAAAAAAAAAAACACACAAACAGAAAACAGTAAGATAAATGAATAGATCCAAATAAATCATTACTCACAATAAATATAAATTGACCAAAATCTCCAGTTCAAAGCCAAAATTGTAAAAATGGATGAGAAAATAAAATGCAGCTATGTACTTTTTAAGTACACACCAAAACATGAGGTTACCAGAGAAATGAAATTCAAATCATAGACAAAGATACACCAGGTTAACACAAATAATGGGGAACCGATGAATGATTTGATGCAAAGAAATGACATGAAAAGATTTTAAAAGAGCATTCTGAGGAGTAAGCAATTTTTCTGAACCAAGTTAAGTAGTATAATTGAGTCTTAAATTCATTTCATCTCATTTACTTCAACTCAGGGCTTGAGCTTATTAATGTCCTTTAGGAATCTGATTCTTTTGCCTAGTGCACTAGCGTTCCTTCTGCTTTCCATTTGATAAGCATGCCATCAATGACTTTCTATAAGATGGTGATAAAAGTGTTTAAGAGGTTAAAGCCTAGTATAGAGGCTTATAGCACAGTAACAGAAGTGTTTTTAAAGGCTGACATCTGTTTGCAATTATAAATCCTATTACTATTATATTTTATTTCTTAATTTTATTCACAAGCCTATCAAGATAGTTTCTCACTTTACTGAAATCTAGTCTGTCGATAATTTCTCTGCCTACATATGCATGAGAATGTACATACACAAATCTACACATACATACTTATATAAAAAATACACTTACATATATATATATATAAAATCATAGTAATACTGTACCTCATAGGTAGTTCCATAATGGCACGTAAATTGGCATTGTCTGTTGGTTTCTGCATCTTGCTCAACATTAGTATAAAATATTACTCCATCCCCAGAGCAGGACACAATCTGCTTATCATTTGTGCACGGTAAGAACTTTGCACTAAATATATTTGCTCGGTGCCCTGAACGAATTGTTGTCAAAACCTAAAACACAGACAAAGTTGTTCTTGGTAATTTATTATTTCCTAGAAAGAAACATTCATATTTAATATAATTATAGCCAGGAATAAATTCTCATTAACATTCTTATTATCTAAAAAATTATCATTTGATTCCAAACTAATATAATTTTTAAAAAATCAGAATCTCACATATTTTCTTCTTTTCTCTATGAGATGTGAAGAGTAAGTACCATTAATAGGAACAGTGCTGTGAAAATTAAATATACATATTTCTACCTATTTGGTGTATCTGACTCATTCATAAGATCTCAGGAAATAAGAAAGGACTATTGTATATAGGGGGAGAGAGAAACAGAGACAAAGAAGATTTTCATTATCTTAAAAATATTTTCCTATATTTCTCAGGCAATCAACTTTAAACAAGTTACTTTTAGGACTGGAGAGTAGGTATGGGGCATGGAGAAAGAAATGACTAGCCTGACCTACCTTTTCTTTTTTTAAGATTTGATTTATTTATTTGAGAGAGAGTGCAAGCAAGAGAGCACAAGCAGGGGTAGTGGCAGAAGGAGAGGGAGAAGCAGGCTCTCCATTGAGCAGGGAGCCCGATGTGGGGCTCGATCCCAGGACCCTGAGATCATGACCTGAGCCGAAGGCAGATGCTTAACCAGCTGAGCCACCCAGGCGCCCCTTTTGACTGACTTTTGAAACTGTTTACTAGATGATTTTTAGTTATTCCCTTCCAAGATAAAAAAATAAAAATAAACTGAATTTAAATGAATCATTAAATGGTAAGACTACAGCAGAAGTCCCAACATCTCCTTCCTTAATTATGTTTCAAGACTGTGGGGCACCTGGGTGGCTCAGTCATTTAAGCGTCTGACTTCCACTCAGGTCATGATCTCAAGGTCCTGGGATCGAGCCCTGCGTTGGGCTCCCTGATCAGGGGAAGTCTGCTTCTCCCTCTCCCTCTGCCACTACTCTCTGCTTGTGTGCTCTTGCTCGTGCTCTCTCTAATAAACAAAATCTTTAAAAATAAAGACTAGAATTCCTGTGACAGAAATAAAGTTTAAAATAAATATGTAAATATTTGCAACATAGAGTGAAGATAAAGAACAAATTTCCCTAACAGTGCTTAAAAATTGACAGAAAGAAACTTAACAAAACCTGGGTTTTTTAATTGAATGGGCAAAAGATCTGAAAACATAGTCCACAAAAAGATATACAAAGGACCTTTAAGAATGTGAGAAAATATCCAACTTTGTTGATAAGGGAAATGCAAATTGAAGCTAAAGTGAGAAACTAATTCTCACTTTTCAGATCGGCAAAAATTCAAGTTCGACAACACATTATGTAAGGGATCCCACGGGGAAACAGGCTCTTCACCATTTCTGGTGGGAGAACTACATGGTACAAGACTAATGGAGAGAAATTTAGCTGTATTCCACAGAATCACACACACATTTACCCATTGACCAGACAAGTCTATTTCTAGGAATTTACCCTTAAGATACACCTCCAACAATACAAGAAAAAAATGCACAAAATTATTTAATGAACTATTCATAACAGCAAAGCACATGAGACTTATTGAATAAATTATGGTACATCCCCACAATGTATGTACAATGAGAATTTAATGCAGTGGGAATCTGGTGTGCTTTAAAAAATGTGCTCAAAAAAAAAAATGTCAAAACATAGACAAAGTTGGCCTTAAATGTCCCGCCGAACAACTGGGATAATTTAAGCATCTAAAAGTATTATCAGTAATAGATAATAATATATTGAATTTAAAAAATCTATAATCTCAAAGTGATTTTTTCACAAAGGTGGTAGGGACAAAGGAAATGCTCTTATTTACAAAATAATGTCAATTAATAAGTGTAAAAGGAATGACAATTAAAAATCACTATTTTGTAACTACATTTTAACTGGTTAAGGCAAGAAACAACACTAAAACCAATGTAAGAAAGATTGTTATGAAAGAGAATATTCACAGAGTCTCAACATACCACTTCACAAACAGCTTATTCATTGTAAAGGGTAAAACATACCTACACAATGGAGAGATCAAACTTAACATTGCCAGTAAGGGGACAAACTAATATCATGTACCACAATGTCACCTATGGAGAATTCTTAGCTAAAATGTTTTTACTTTTAGGGTGCCTGGGTGGCTCAATTGGTTAAGCGACTGCCTTCGGCTCAGGTCATGATCCTGGAGTCCCGGGATCAAGTCCCACATCAGGCTCCCTGCTCAGCAGGGATCTGCTTCTCCCTCTGACCCTCTTCCCTCTCGTACTCTCTCTCATTCTCTCTCTCTCAAATAAATAAAATCTTTAAAAAAAAATGTTTTTAATTTTAATCTATTCATGAAGAAACAATCAGACAAATCCAAATTGAGAAACATTCTATATAACAATTGTTCTTCTATATTAATATAACAGTAAAACAACTAATATATTAATATCATGAAAGACCAAAAAGTTGAATGAACTATCCCTAAAAGAGACTAAGGAAATATGACAACTACATGAAATGATGGATGGAGCTTGGATTGAAAGAGGCATGGCAGTGACAAAGAACACTATAATCAAACGAGAAAATTTGAATATAGACCATATATGTGTACATGTGTATGTATTATGTGTGTACGTCATCAAATAGAAAATCACATATATAATAGCATATGGCTGACTCTCATCATTCCTGATAAGTCACTGCCAACACTGAACTAACAAGCACTGAATTACTGCTCCTAGGGAAATAAGTGGTTAGGTTCCTTAGAGCCTCTTGCCACAACATTTTCCTCAGTCAATACACAGCATTGTTTTATATGTTTCTGTTTAAAGACCTTATTTAATATATACTGTTGCTTCATTAACATTGAACTCATGGCCAAGAGCATTATAATGCATGCCTAAATGAAGCTTATCTAACATTTTTTCTCCATAAGAAACATCCCAGGCTTCTTGTGCTTAGGAACACGAGATAGTATTTCAGCATGATACCTGGGGACATTTTAAACTGTGAAATTAACAATAAAAAGCACAAAAATGCAACATGAAATATACCACAAAAAAGATACAGTATGTTTACAGTATGAAAGCTGAAATAATTCTCAATTCTTTTGTCACTCTGCTCATGTGCATGGCCATGAATGACCAGGAAGGCACTGGAAGTATTGACTTGGGGGTTAAAAGTAAATTTCAATGAGTAGGCAAATTTGCAAATATGAAATCTACAAGTAATGAGGATTAACTCCATATTCAATATTATATATTTTTAAAAACAGAATAATGTTCTTGTTCTTAGTAGGTATATGCCAAAGCACTCATGAATGAAGTACATGATGCCTCCAACTTGGGCTCAATTGCTTAAAAATAAAAAATCTATTTGTGAATATTCATTGTTATTATTTTTTAAATTTTTCCAAAAGTTTTTAAATTTTAAAACAAAGTTAGGAAAATATATTTCAACTTTATTTTGGGTTTGGTTTTAAGTGAGTATTTATTATATAATACTAACTGCCAAATTCTTATCAGAGACTACCATACCAAATCATAACATAAATCTGGAATGAATATTAGCAGCTATCTACCTTGACCACTTTGAATATTTAAGTCACTTCATTCTATTTAAGAACTAGGTTACAGGGTTACGGCCAAAATAAGGATTTGCTGAGTACAATAAATTGCTCCACAGTAAGTCTTACACATAAAATGCACATATAATTAGTGTCAAATAAAAAAGAGGGGGTGTCTTTTGCACCTGCATCAACCAAAGCCAATGGAGAATAAAATCGTAAATATTTTAAAATCTTTCATTCCTCTCTTCAAGTGTAAGACACTAAGATCTGGAAGACTAAGGTATAAAAACAAACCACAGAGAATAATTAATGTAAAGCCTTTAAACAAGATAGATATCATGACCTTTAACTGTCAGGTATTTTAGCATGGTTTACCAAGTAGCTAACTATGTAAAAGTCACTGCTTACAGTGTATGTTTTAGTTTCTTCATCCGATAGGCCTTTGGCTTTGCTTTAGTCTCATTCAGCAGACATTATTCTTAACAGTTCATGATTTATCTCCATTTAACAGGTTTATGCATAGCTTCAGAAACAAAAGCACTTGGTACATTAATATGTGTACTGACATATGACGTATTAGTCACAAATTGAGATGGATTTCTTTATTAAAGTAATCAAGATTTTTTTTTAAAGATTTTATTTATTTATTTGACAAAGAGAGACACAATGAGAGAGGGAACACAAGCAGGGGGAGCGGGAGCAGGGAGCCCGATGCGGGGCTCGATCCCAGGGCCCTGGAATCATGACCTAAGCCAAAGGCAGACGCTTAACGACTGAGCCACCCAGGCGCCCCTAAAGTAATTAAGATTTAAAAAGTAAAAAGTTGAAGCTCTTTTCTTTTGGACAAATCTCTTGATTTCAGATGTCCTCTTCCAAATTTACTCCCCTTCCAGTGTTCTCCACCTTCATCCCAATGGCAGCAATATCCACCCACACAGTTGATCAAGTCAAAAACTAAAGAATCATCCTTCGTTTCTCTTTCCCTCATCCACTATAAAATAGTAATATAGATATACAGATATATAGATATAGATATATAATACAAAATCTATAAAATCCACCAGCAAATCTAGGTCCAAGATATATTCCAAACTACTTCTCCTCACCTCAATGCCATTATCTTTGTCTAAACCACCATCTCTCCTCACTGGGATGACTCAATGGCCTCCTATCTCCTACTTCTGATCTTATTCAAACTCTGCTCTCCAAACAGCAGCCAGAGCTATCTTTTAAAAATGCAGATCATATCACCTGCATGTTTAATACACTCCAGTGACTATTTCAATGACACTAAAATGTAAACTCCTTAATATTGCCTATCAAACCTACTATCTGATCACTGCCTACCATGTTAACTTCATTTTGAACCACTCTTTAATTTATTAATAGATAATTGTTGGAAGAACAAGTACTCATGTGTACACAATTAGTAATTCCAACAAAGGCTGGAATTTATTTTTAATTGTCAAAACTGAAACTATACAATCAATATAGATATGCATTCTACTGGAGGTAAATAGTGATAAGATTGATTTTTTAAAAATGGTAGTACCTGCAAAAAGTTATTATTTTTGGTACTTGGATTTATTTTCTTATTTGTGCTTTCCTTGTATCAATACATTAAAATACTTACTCAGAAAACATCTAAGAATAATGGCCTAGAGAGGTAGAAATTGGCAGAGTAACTTAATTGAAGATGTAAATGACATATTGATAACTGGAATTAGTAATAAATGTGACTGTGAACTAGTTGTAACATCTATGACTTTACTGATCATCAGGTTAATCTAGCTGGCCAAGCAGGTATCTCTTTCATCATGTCACATACAATGCTTCCAAAACCTTAAGCTTGGGGCACCTGGGTGGCTCAGTTGGTTGGGCGTCTCCCTTCGGCTCAGGTCATGACCCCAGGGTCCTGGGATCGAGCCCCACATCAGGCTCCCTGCTCTGTGGGGAGTCTGCTTCTCCCTCTGCCCCACTCCCCCACTCATGCTCTCTCTCTCTCTCTCACAAAAATAAATTAAAATAAAAAAACCTTAAACTTGGTCCAGGAATATCCAGATAGAAAGTGTTGGTTCTTGAATCTCTTGGTAAAAATCACTCCTCTCTAAATCCAACCCATACCCCCACCTAAGGAATTGAATACAGAAATTCCTTACCTTTCCTTTACTAATATTTATTGGGCACCTACTATGTGACAGGTAATTTACTAAGTGTTGAGGAAACAAAAAAGAAAAAACTGTCACTGTCCCAAAGAAATTACTGTCTAATGGTGAGCAAACAAACATAATAATCTAATTATCCACAAAGTACAATGAGAACATAGAGGAAGGAGTGCCTACATTTGCCTAGGGCAACAAGAGAGGTATACCACAGCTGAGAGTCAAGAATTGAAGGATGGATTTAAATTTGCCAAGTAGATGGGAGGTGCATGGCAAAGCAGGAGAACATCCCATGAAGAGAGAACAATGCAAGCAAAAGTACAGAGTAAAGAACATGTTATGCTCTGAGAACTTATAGGTAGCTGGCTGAAGCCAAATCAAGAAAAATTTTACATATGTGGTACACACAGGATTTCTTTTATATTAGATATTATAAGGTTACTTTCCTTCGGTTTTATTTATACCTTGAGGAGGTGGCCCTTTGGGGGGGGGGCAGCATACTGTGGAGAATCTGCTATAGGAATCCATACTTGATTTGAGTCCTGAGCTTTGTTTCTGTCTACCTTGACATTCAAGGCCATCAAGACTAAAGTTTATATATGCTTGGATTGGCAAACATCTTCAGGGAGAAAGTGGCTTTCATGCTCACTTCTCTGGACTCACTTTTTCCCTTCCATTTTGGACTGATAATCCCTTACTATCAAGGCAAGTTACTTGTTACTTTTAGGACAATTTTTTTAGGACAATTTTTAAAGTCTTTAATCAAGAATATTTTAGTTGTTTCAATGGGAGGATTGGTCCAAATAAACTAGACTGTAATTATTGGAAAAAGAAACTTCTCTCTTGTATATATTTGAGATATACTATATATAAAATTAGGATATGTTACCATTAATAAGGAACACCTCCAATCTCTTAACTCAAAAAAAAGTGTTTCAAAATTATTTGCATTAAATTAATCTTTCCATGAATGCACAGGACCTAAAAATAAAGTCAAACTTTAAGAACAGGTAATATTTGACTCAGGATCAAACAATTTTTTTTCCTATATAATTAATCATCTGTGTTTTAAATTTTTAAAAATATTCCTAGATGATAGCAAATTTGGATCTATTAAAGACCAATATGTGAAAAAGATAAAGTCTTGTTATATTTAAACTCTTTAAAAGTATTATTTGATTATTCATTTCTTAAACTGGAAAAGAGAAAGAGTAATCACTTTTCAAATATACATTCTATTGGGAACCATGCATCAAAATGAATGTTTTTTTCCAAAAATAAGCAAATAAAGAAGAAACAAGATCTTCTAAAAATTATTCCACTGGGTATAGTCACAAAATAATTGAAAGCAGGGACTTGGAGAGATGTGTGTACACCTATGTTCATAGCAGCATTATTCACAATATCAAAATGGTAGAAGTAGTAACTCAAATGTCCATTGAAAGATGAATGGAAACAAAATGTGGTATTTACATACAACAGAATATTATTCAGCCATAAAAAAAAAAAAAGAAAATCTGACACATACTGCAACATGTTCGAATGTTAAGGGCATCGAGATAAATGAAATAGTAACAAAAAGACAAATATTGTATAAAGGCTTAGATATCTAGAGTAGTCAAATTCATAGAGACAAAAAGTAGAATGGTGGTTGCCAAGGGATGGGAGGAGAGAAGAAAAAGGAGTTACAGAGGTTCAGTTTTCCAAGATGAAAATAGTTCTATAGCTGGATGTGGTGATAGTATCAACAATATGAATATACTTAATGTCACTGAAGAGAAATATTAAAAATTATTAAGATAGTAAATTTTGTTATGTGTATTTTACTACAGTTTTTTTTTTTTTTAAAGCGTGATGCTCTGTATCTTTTCAAAAAAAAGATTATTCCTTTGGTGTCTAGTCAACTGTTATGAATACCGTAAGCATTAAAATTCTGATAGTGATGGTCAAAAAGCATTCTACATATACATCATTCCAGGAAATTTCCTCTACGGTAAGGAAAAACGTTATGCTAGTACAATATAATGATTTATAAGAAATATTTCTTTGGTCATCCAGATGACCAAAATATATTTCTCAGATATATATATATATGATCTTTGTCAATAGTTTTTGAAAATGCTTCAGAGATATAAAGGTGAAATTGGTGTCTTGTTATTAATAAAGCTGACTTTTGGATCCCACCAAAGGGTGGGGACTGGTTGCCAAAAGGAGCAATCATGAGATTTGAGAGGGGAGAGGGGCTGGGGGTTGAATCAGTCAGTGACCAATGACTTAGTCAATCAGGACTATACAATGAAGCCTCCATAAAAACCCAAGGGTACAGTTTTTTGGCCTTTTTCGGAGCTTCCACACTTGGGGAATCAGAATGCTTCCATGTGCCACCGAGCCAGGCCCTAAACTCCAGGCTGGAATTAGGTACAGGCACCTTAAAAGACCTAGTAACTGTAGACCTAACACAAGTAGGCTTTGAAAACATCAAGTTTCCCTCTGTTAAGTCAGGACAATTAAGTAAAGCTATCTCTGAAATAAAATTATGACCTGTCTTTTAATCATGGATACCTTCAATCTGGACCTCATTCAGGTTGAAGGACCACAAACATTTATTTAAATATCTTAACTGTTTAAATGTGGAAAAATAAGAAATATGTGAATAATTTATTCTGTAAGATTGCTACTATTAAATAACAGTTTGGTCTGCCAATCTACCAAGTGCTCACTGATATAAAAATAAGTGTATAGTTTCTCCATATACAGAGAAGAGCCAATAAAAATCAGAACATAATCCTAATACATAATCCTAAAACTCAAACGGTTATGCCAGCTTATGGTATTAGATATCACGAAGCATTTCACTAGAGCCTAGATACTATTTTTGCAAACTGATAAAATTATATTTCTTAAACCACTTGGCTGAAGGGTAGATTTTGTGAGCATGAAAGAAAAAAAATCACATTTTCTTTTTTCCCCCAAAGAATGGTTTACGAGATAATGTTACTTTTGGGAATTTTACCCACATAGATAAAATGAAGCATATTTAAATTTGCTGGAGTCAAAAGCTGGGTGAAATCTATGTTTTCCTAAGAAGATTAAGGGATAGGCATGTAATAACTCCCAAATTACATAACTACCTTGAGCAAAATAAGGATATTCTATTTCAAATACCCATTCCATAATTATTTACAATTTCTTAATTTCTAGCTTAATTTTTCTCATTGAATTACAGATTTTTTTAAAGCCACTTTACCTTTCTGCTGTAAGGGTTACTAATTACTAACTTGGTATCATCTGAGCCAGATAAAATATATTCTCCAGTCTCATTCCAACAGATTGTATTAACCTGAAAAGAAAGCAAAAAATAAATTTAAGTAAACTGGACATATAAACAAGTATTCCATCTTTCAGTTAACTGATGATTCAAAATATATATCACTAATAAAATTGTGTCTATGGCAAGGAGTGTTTACCAGTTAACCTATCGAAAATACATACTGCCATTTAGCAAACACAATAAATATTCTGTAAACTCACAATGAAATGTCTGAGTCATTAAGTTTTATTGTTTAAATTCACTTTAATTAATTCATTTTATACCCAGAGACATAAAACAAGGCCATCTAAAAAAAAAAAAATTAAAAGAACTTACTACAGAGCTATAGTAATCAAGGCTGTATGATACTGTCATGATCATAGACATATAAATCAATGGAATGGAATTGAGAGTCCAGAAATAAACACTTACATTTATGTTCAAGTAATTTTTGACAAGGGATCCAAGGCCTTTCAAAGGAGAAAGAGTATTTTTTCAACAAATGGTGCTGGGACAACGGGATATACCCAAGAAAGGAATACCATGTACAAAAATGAACTGAAAATGATCAAAAATCTAAATGTAAGTGCCCAAACCACAAAACTCTTAGAAGGAAACATAGGTATCAATCTTTACAAAAATTAAAACTGAATGAATTACCACTTCACACCCATTAGGATGGCTATAATAATTAAAAAAAAATCAAAACAAAACAGTAAGAGTTAGCTAGGGTATCAAAAAATTGGAACCCTAACACACTGCTGATAGGAATGCAAAATTGTGTCACTATTTAGACATTTTGGCAGTTCCTCAAAAACTGAAACAGAGTTACCCTATGACCCAGCAATTCCACAATAAGGGATATATCCAAGAGAACTAAAAACATGTACCAAACAAAAACTTGTACACAAAAACCCATAGCTGCATTATTCCTAAGAGCTAAAAGTGAAAGCAATCCCAACATTTATCAACTAATGTATGGATAACAAAATGTGACTATCCATTTGCTCATAACAAAATATCCATAAAATGAAGTATTACTTGGCCATAAAATGAAATCATAATACATGTTGTAACATGTAAATACTTTGAAGACATTCTGCTGAGTGAATGAAGCCAGTCTGAAAGGCCATATATTATGATTCCATGTATTTTAAAAGTCTAGACTAGGGCGCCTGGGTGGCTCAGTTGGTTAAGCGACTGCCTTCAGCTCAGGTCATGATCCTGGAGTCCCGGGATCGAGTCCCGTGTCGGGCTCCCTGCTCAGCGGGGAGTCTGCTTCTCCCTCTGACCCTCTCCCCTCTCATGCTCTCTCTCACTTTCTCTCTCTCTCAAATAAATAAATAAAATCTTTAAAAAAAATAAAAAATAAAAAAAATAAAAGTCTAGACTAGGCATATCTGTAGCGACAGAATGCAGATTAGTGACTGCCAACAGCTTGGTAGAGGCGGAAAGGGAGTGAATGATGATAACTGGTATGGACTTTTTTTTTTCAAATGGTGAAAATATACTGGAACTAGACAGTGGTGATCACTGTACGGCTTTAAGAATATACTAAAAAAAAACACTGAACTGCATACTTAAAATGGGTATGTTTTATGGTATATGAAATGTATCTAAATTAAAAAGAAAAACAGACTTTCACTTTCAGTCAAGACAGAGCATGAACCAGATTTACTATCACATCTGAAACAACCAAAAAACAGCAGAATACACACTTTTTTTTTTAAAGATTTTATTTATTTATTTAGAGAGTGCAAGCATGCATGCACACACAAGTGGGGTAGGGGCGGGGAAAGGGAGAAGAGAAAATCTCAAGCAGACTTCATGCCTGATGTGCAGCTCAATCTTACAACCCCAAGATCATGACCTGAGCCAAAATCAAGAGTCGGATGGTTAATCAACTGAGCCACCCAGGTGCCCTAAATACACATTCTTTTTAAGTACACAAAAATTATTTACCAATACAGAAAATATTTATGGGCCATAAAACAAATCTCAATATTTTTAAAAGATTTCAACTAATACAGAGTACGTTCTCTGACCAAAATGGAATTAAGTGAAAATCATTAACACAAAGAAATATTTGGAAACTACAAAATAACAGATACCCAAAAAAGAAATTACCCAATAAATTAGAAAGTATTTTGAACTGAATGAAAATGAAAGCACAACATAACCCAATTTATGGGTTGCAGCTAACTCTGAACTTAGAAGGAAACTTCTAGCACTAAAATACCCATATTAGAAAAGATAAAGGTCTCGTATCAATGACCTCAGCTTCCAAACAAAAAACTTATAAGAACAAATGAAACCCAAAATCAGCAGAAGATTGGAAATAATGAATATCAGATTAGAAATTGATGAAACAACAGAAAACAGAAAAATAGTGGGGAAAAAAGTACACACACAAAAACACTAGAAGTTGGTTCTTTGACAAGACAAATAGAATTAATGAACATGTAGCCTGACTAAGAAAAAAAAAGGGGACAGGGGAATATATACTACCAATATGAGGAATGAGAAAGATGGTATCAATCACTAACTACACATTCTACAATACCTAAACATTAAGGAAATACTATGGTCAACTTTACGCCAATAATTCAACAATGTGGATGAAACTGACAAAATCCCTGAAACACACATGCTAAACAAAATTTACTCAATACATAGTTTATTTTTATTAAGAGATTGCAGTTAAAGTTTTCCACAAAGAAAACTCCAGGCCCAGATGGCTTTACTGGTGAATTCTGCCAAACATTTTTAAAAAAATAAATAATGAGAATTCTGTACCATGTCTTCAGAAAATTAGAGACAATATAAATACTGGAACTTACAAATAAATACTGGAACTAACTAACAAGTCAGGAAGATTGTGAGATACAGATGAACATGCAAAATTGGACAGAGAATTAAAACCACAACATGATATCACTAGATATCTACTAGAATGTCTAAACATTTTTTACACTTGATCTTAGCCAAAAGGCAGAGAAGTGATCTCTAAACATTTTTTTAAATTATTATATCAGATCTAAAGGGAGAAACACACAACAAAAACAATAGTAGCAGACTTCAATACCAGATTTTCAACAACAGATAAATCATACAGACAGAAGATCAGTAAGAAAACCTTAGAATTGAACTATACTTTAGATCAAGATTTAGACACATACAGAACAGTCCATCAAACAACAGCACACAGACTTTTCTCAAGTGCACACTGAACATTCTCCAGGATAAATCATGATAGATCACAAAACAAATATTAACAAATTTTAAAAGAATTAAATCATACCAAGTATCTTTCTGACCACAATGGTAGAAGACTAGAAATTAACAGCAGGAAAACTGGAAATTTCACCAACATGTGGAAATTAAATAACATACTCTTGGACAGTTAGTGGGTCCAAGAAGAAATAAAAAAAATCTTGAAATAAATGAAAATAGAAATAAAACATATGGGATGCAACAAAAGCAGTTATAAGCAGGAATTTTATAGCAATAAATGTCTACACTGAGAAAAAAGAAAGATCAAAATAAGCAACAGAACTTAACATATTAATGAAAGAGAAAAACTAAGGCCAAAATTAGCAAAAGAAAGGAGACAACAAAAATCAGCAGAAATAAATGAAAAAGAGCAGGAAAACAATAGAAAAGATCAATGAAACTAAAAGTTGGTTTTTTGAAAAGATTAAATTGACAAACCTTTAGCTAGATTTACCAAGGAAAAAAAACAAGACCCAAATAAATAAAAATTTTAAATGAAAGAGAAGATATTACAATTGATACCACAGAAATACAAAGGATTATAAGAGAATACACTGAACAGTTATACACCAATAAATCAGACAACGTACTAGAAACATATAACCTACCAAGACTAAATCACACACAGAAATCTGAATAGGTCAAAAACAAGTAATTTTTTTGTTTGTTTCTGGAGACTGAATCAGTAATTAAAAACCATTAAAAAACAACCAAAAAAGCCCAGAATTAGACGACTTTAGGGGCTTTAACTATTTACCAAACATTTAAAGAAGAATAAACACCAGTCCTTCTTAAACTCTCCAAAAAACTGAAGAGGAGGGTACATGCCCAAACTCATTTTCTGAAGCGAGCATTATCCTGACACCAGAGCCAGATAAGGTATTACAAGAAAAGAAAACTACATGCCAATATTCCTGATGAATATAGATATAAGTATTCTCAACAAAATACTAGCAAATTGAATTCAACAGCACATTAAAGGGATCATACACCATAACCAAGTGGAATGTATCCCTAAGATACAAGGATGGTTCAGTATACACAAATCAATAAATGTGATATTCCACATTAATATAATGAATGATAAAAAATCATACGATCATCTCAATATATGCAGAAAAAGCATCTGATGAAATTCAACATCTTTCATGATAAAAATCCTCAATAGATTGAATATAGAAGGAACATGTCTCACTGTTAATAAAGGTCGTATATGACAAGCCCACAGCTAACATCATACTCAATGTTGAAAGGTTGAAAGCTTTTCCTCTAAAATCAGGAACAAGAAAAGGGTAATGACTCTCATCTCTTTTATTTAACATAGTATTAGAGTCCTGTCCAGAACAATTAGGCAAGAAAAAGAATAAAAGACATCCAAATTGGAAATGATGAAGTAAAACTGTCTCTGTTTGCAGATGACATGAATACACAGAACACCCTGAAGATGCCACACAAAAACTGTTGGCACTAATAAATGAATTTACTAGTTTTAAGATATACAATATACAAGATATAGAATCAACAAACAAGTATCAGTTGCATGTCATGTCTACATACTAACAATAAACTATATGATGTTGAGTTATAATAACATCTAAAACAATAAAATACTTAGGGATAAATTTAACAAAGAGGTGAAAGATCTGTACACTGAGGTCTACACACTACTGATGAAAGACAATGAAGAAGACACAAATAAATAGAAAGATATGACAAGTTCGTGTATTAGAAGGCTTAATATCATTAAAATGTCCACA